GTCTACCCCTTTCTTTCTGAGTCATTTCGCTTAACCTGATACTTTCCATGTAGTATAGCCATACATGCTAGGGGAAAAGGGAGCTCAGATAGAGAAAAGAGCACCAAATAAAGGGTGTTGGGAGAATCCTCCCAGGATGGGAGAAGCATGCTGAAAGCAGACTATAGACCAAACATGATTGCCACCCATTGCCTGTTTTGCAAACCACAACACCCAATAGGAGAAAGAGAACAAAAGGGAATGCCCTGCCACAGAGGCAGAGTGGGATGGGGGGATGGGGGGTGGGAGGGATACTGGGATCCATGGTGGTGGGAAATGGGCACTGGTGGAGGGATGGGTATTTGATTATTGTATAATCGAAACCCAAGCACAAAAATTTGTAAATCTACAACTGTACCTCATGGTGTCTCACTAATAAAAATTTTTAAAAAAAATTTTAAAAAATGGGAAAGTATCTATTTTATGGTGTCTCTTAACTTTCAAACTTTCATGTCTTGATTTTAACACTTAGCATAAAGCCGTTGAACTAACAGCAGGGTGGTGTTTGGCAAGGGGGATAAGTATACACATAACCGAAACAAAGCAAACTCCGTAAATAGATCCACATATATAACTTGTTGATTTTTTTATTGTGTAAAATATGCATACCATAAAATTGGCAATTTTAACCATTTTAAAGTCTATAATTCAAAGAATACATTCATGTTGTTTTGCAACTTTCCCCACCAGGAATTCCTGAACTGTTGTCTTGCAAAATTGAAACTCTGTGCCTCTTAAACACTAGCTCTCTCTCCTCCCACCACCCGTGCAAATCCCCATTACCTTCTGTCACCGTAAATATGAGTATCCTGGGGATCTCAGATAAGTAGAATTAATGATATTGTCCCCTGTGAGTGGCTTATTTCACTCAACATGATATGTTAGAGGTTCATTCATGTCATAGCATAAGTCAAAATTGCCTTCCTTTTTAAGATTAATCACAGTCACGGTCACGGTCCTCCCGTTGTTCATCGATTTGCTCGAGCGGGCCCAGTAATGTCTCCATTGTGACACTTATTACTGTGCTTGGCATATCGAATACGCCACGGGTAGCTTGCCAGACTCTGCCCTGAGGGCGAGATACTCTCGGTAGCTTGCTGGGCTCTCTGAGTGGGCGGAGGAATCGAACTCGCATCAGCCATGTTGGCTGCGTACAAGGCAAATGCCCTACCCACTGTGCTATCGCTCCAGCCCTTTAAGATTAATAGTCCTCTGTATATACTATTTCTCCTTCCTTTCTCTCTGTTGATGTTGTTGCCATGGCTGGGGGCTGCACAAAACTTGGTTGGGATGCTTGTCCGGGTTTGTGTCTGTAGTTGTGTGTTTGCATCTGTTCTGATTGTTGTTCACATTGTATAGTCTTAGTGCTCACACACAGGCTCACTGGGGTCACACTTCTGACCATGGAGCTCACACGTCTTTCTCACTTTGGTGCTCACTAGGGGTCACATGCTTTATTTTTGGATCTCACACATCTGGCTTCAGGGCATCTAGAAATCATTCTAGACCCCAGGAATCACAGATGGCAGAGTTGACCTGATCATGCTCAATGCATGCAGGCTACACTAGGGATCAAGATTGTGGCCTCACACTTGGAAGGAAAACCCCCTGCTTTAGCCGCTGAGCCATCTCCTGGGTCCTGAACCACTTTTAAAAATCCACGTATCTGTCATTGAGCATTTAGGTTGCTTTTCCATATTATAAATAATGCTGCTATGAACATGAATGTCAAAATATCTGGACAAGCCCCTAAATTAATTCTTTTGGGCATATACACAGAAGTAGAATTTCTGGATCATAACATTAACTCCAAACAAAAACAGCCAGTTATCTCATCAATAAAATTGGTTTAGTTAGAGAGAGCAACAGCAGCAACAAAATAGTGTCTTGATGAGACGTGCACTTTCCCAGAACAAAAACCATAGTTAAAATATATACTTTCAGAAGGGTTATTGGAATAGTTTGTTGGAAGAAACCAGGAGTAGGGTGTGTGTTGATCTTCATTTATGGGTTTATGGGGGTTTCTCGCTGAATATTGAGGGGAAAAGAGAAGCCTCTTACTTCTTGCACTGGGTAGAAGTTATATCACGTCCCCTGGGAAATGAGAGGCATGTTGGGTCCTCTCATTTACTGCTTGAACATGCATGAGAATTTTCTTCTAGTCTCCTGATCTCATCCAAATAGGATTCTGGCCCTTTTCTCACAATATGGTTATTCTATTTATAATTTCCTAAGGAAATACCATACTGTTGTCCATAACAGTTGCATTCATTTAAATTCTCACTAACCCTTGACAGAGATTTGATTACACTTGATATTTTTTCTCTCCCCCATCCCTGTGTGTGTGTTCACATTCATACAGGTATACATGGAGAGATTTAATGGACATCCATCAACAGAGGTGTTTTTTAGGAGGGCCACACACTGCAATGTTCAGGGGTTCCTCCTGGCTCTGCACTCAGAAATCACTTTTGGTGGTACACGGGGTACCATATGGGATGCCAGGGATTGAACCTGGGTTGGCTGCATGCAAGGCTACTGCCTCATCCATTGTACTATCTGCCCAGCCCCTCAACTGAGTGTTTTTAAAGGAAAATAAAAACTGATAAAATTCCAAGGGCAGAGAAGCAGTGGTCAATGGATCGACAGACAATAGAAAGTAAATAGATTATTGGTTGACTTGAATTTCAGCTTTCTCTGTTGGCTTTTGCATGTAGTTTGGTTAGTGGATGACAATATAATATAACCAGGCCTGTGCCTAAAAGTTTTTGAAAAGGCAGAGGAATTGGTGGAATCAAATGTTTTCAGAGCTCAGGTTGTGGAGCGGAGCTAAAACCTGGAGGAGGGGCTGGAAAGCTGCTAGTCGAGCAGGTAGGACACATGCCTTGTGCACAGCAGATCTGGATTCAATCCCTATCGCCCCATAGAGGTCCTGAGACCTACAGGATTGATCCCTGAGTACAGAGCCAGGAATAGGACCTGAGCATGATGGGTGTGGCCCCCCAGAACTAACAAATAAATAAACCCTGGAGGATTGGTGAAAAGCTTAGTCAAGAGCAATTGCCCTGGACCCCTTCCTGCCTCCATGTGTCAGGTCGCTGCTCTCCCAGACACCCTCAGAGACTGAAGGGTTTCTGGGGGAGCCTGAACCCAACCAGCTCTCAGCACATCAGCAGAAGGTACAAGGTGAGAGCCAGGTGCAGAATCAGGCCAGGAGGTACCCTTCTCTGTAACCACTGGTCAGTGGAAACGAAAGCATAAATTTAAAAATATATGGAGACAAATGAAAATAAAGACATGTTATCATAATTGATGGGGTGCAGCAAAAGCAATATTAAAAATGAAATCGCTAGCCATGAAGACCTTCATAAAGAACAGGAAAAAATCACAAATAAGTAATTTAGCCTTATAGTTAAAGCAGCAGGTAAAAACTACAATCACTGTCACTGTCACTGTCTTCCCATTGTTTATCGATTTGCTCGAGCGGGCCCAGTAACATTGTGAGACTTGTTATTGCGTTTGGCATCACAGGCAGCTTGCCAGGCTTTGCCTTGCGGGCGAGATACTCATGGTAGCTTGCCGGGCTCTCTGAGAGGGGCAGAGGAATCAAACTTGGGTTGACTGGGTTGGCCGCGTGCACGGCAAACACCCTACCCACTGTGCAAATAGCAACAACAAAAAACATGGTATAAAAATACTAAGAATCAGAACACAGAAAGGGGAAAAAAACAAAAAAAATTTGTTTATCAAAAAGATAAATAAAATCAATAATTCTTCCCCCCTCCCCCACTGGTATACCCATGAATTTTTCTTTTTATTTATTTTTTTAAATTTTTTTATTTTATAAGTTACTTCTACAATATTTGATTACATTTAATATTCAAACACCAATCCCACCACCATTACACCTTCCCACCACCAAATTCAGGATGTTTCCATCCCAAGCCCCAATCTCCGTCCCAAAGCACAAACGAAAGAATATATTTTGTATTGTCAGTTATGAAGAACTGCTGAACATGCTTAAAAAAAAGTGTTCACATAGAAAACAGTATGAAGGTTGTTCTATTTTGGCAGGAGCCATTAAGACATTCTATGGGCTATCACTAACATGTTAAAGTCTGGGTGATGTGAGCTTTGGTAATTATGTCAAATATATATATATATGTGTGTGTGTGTGTGTGTGTGTGCATATATATATCCATCTATGATTTGTTGTCTACTGTCTGAACCCCATCAGATATGGTGTGGCAATTATGGAAAATGGGTAGGGAGTGTCTTATGATGTATTCAGGAGTATGTTTACTCATATGTGAAGCTTGGCCTGAGTGTGTGGAAAGCGGCCTGGAATGTGGCGGTGGTTGGGTTGTGAAGGTCGGGCTGCCGGAGCTGGGTCCCTTGGGGCAGGGAGGGCTCTCACCTGCCCCACTCTGGGATGCCCTGAGTAAAAACAGCCTGGCACGGAGTCTGGTAGCATGGTTATGGGGGCCTCATTTTATGCTCCCTTCTGGGAGAAGCAGCCAGAATCAATAATTCTTTAAGATTACAAAGAAGGGAAAACTTAATAATAAACAATCAGAAGTTAAAGAGGAGAAATTGTAACAGGTACCATAAAAATGCAAAGAATTATAAGAAATAACTGTGATCAACTATATGCCAACATGTTTGATAATATAAAGAAATAAATTTTTACACAAATATAACCTAGAGAAAAGGGAAAAAAACTTATATGAATATTTAAACAGTAGTCAAAACATTTCCAGAGAGCTCTGAACTATGTATCTTTATTGGTGAAATTACCAAACTGTGAAAAAAATTTAGTTAAACCTTATCTCCTCAAACTCTACTTCCACAGACATTTTATGAGTCCAACATTATTCTGATACAAACTAGCCATAAACACTCTGCCTTCATATCCAGCTCTCTGTAGGTGGAAGGGCCACAGTGATTATGTCACGTCCAGCTCCCAGTGGACAGAGGGGCCACTGTGATTCTGTCACATCTAGCTCTCAATGGACAGAGGGACGCAGTGATCCTGTGATGTATGCCTGGGGCTGTTCTTCCTCATCAGCCTCCATAGCCTGGTCACTGAGACATGAACAGTAACATATACACTCATGTTATTGGATGGCACTCTGTTATACCTAATGTTTGTATCTTAGCCACACCAGTTGGGGCTTAGGGTTAACTATGCTCTGGAATCACCCCTCGTAGCTACCACCTGTGTTTCCAGGAATGCAACCTGGGCCATCACATGCAAAACAAGCCCTGCCCCCTGTATACTTTCCAGTCTCCTGTGACACCTCTTTCTTTTTATTTTATTTTTATAAAATTGTTCACAATAATTTAATTCAGTATTCCAACACCAATTCCTCCACCATTACACCTTCCCACCACCATATTTCAAATTTTTCCACCCCAACCCTCAAAACCTACCCTAAAGACCTAAATAACTTATTTTGTATTGCTTGCTATAAATATTCCACAAAAAATGATCCAAAAAGTTTCCTTAGAGGAAAGAGTGTGAAGATTGTTGTATCTTATCCTGGAGTCAGTAAGCTCTTGTATAAGAGATTACTATCATGTTGTTAATGGTTGAGCCTTGTGTGCTAATGTACATATATATATATATATTAATTGAGATTGCCTTCTACTTTACACCCCATCAAGTGTGATGTGCTACTATTGGTACATCAGGGACGTAGAATATGAGATGTCATGTGGCCATGAATGTGGCCACACACTCCAGGAATTCAAAGATTTTAAATAGGGTGATAAAACTAGAATCAAAATATCAACTGGATGGTGACTTTGGGCTCCAGAGACATCTATGCAGTTTGTTTCTCTCTTCCAAGGTTTCTTTGTGCGTCTCTGGATCATGGCAATTAATGAGCTTATATGTCCCCAGAGCAGCTTGTGGGCATGACTGCCAGGCATGAGAAAGATGGGGGAGATAGGGAAGGTCACCCATTCCTGACTCTGTGGAGGCTAGAGATTTCAGTCACAAAGCCTGCATACCTGGGTTTTTCAGCAGATTCAGTCATGGATGAGGCTTGTCTGGCTATTGAGTTCTGGAGGGTTTTGGCTGCCAAGGCTTTGTTAGGGAAGGTGGTGGGACTTACCTGCCCCCCTCCAGGTTGTCCCTGAGAAGACAGCCTGGCTCAGGGTCCAGAGGCATCTCCGCAGCTTGTTGCTCTCTTCCAAGGTTTATTTGTGCATCTCTAAATCATGGCCATTAATGAACTTACATGTCCCCAGAGGCAGCTCGAGGTTCAAGACTGCCAGGTTCAAGGAAGTACAGGGACACCCTATTCTCAGCTCTGTGCTAACCTGGAGATTTCAGTCACAAAACTGGCATACCTGGGTTTTTCAGCAGATTCGCTCATAGATGAGGCTCGTCCAAGTCTGTGACTCCTTTTTCTTAGACTAATAAATTTGATTTCTCTTTCAGAAAATAAAAAAAATTAAATCCAGAAAAAGTAAAAAGGCAGGAGTGATGGATAGTACAGTGGGGAGGGGACTTGGCTTGTACATGGCTGACAGTGTTTGAATTCCGTCACCCCATATGGTCCTTGGAGTCCACCAGGAGTGATCCCTGAGTTAAGAGCCAGGAGTAACCCCTGAGCATTGTGAGGTGGAGATATATATATATATATATATATATATATATATATATAGAGAGAGAGAGAGAGAGAGAGAGGAGAGATAAAGGAGGGAGGAAGGGATAGAGTAAGAGAGGGAAAGAGAAAGAAGAGAAAACTGGAGCCCAATATCTCTGATGAACACACACGCAAAATGTTATACAAAATGCTAGGAAATGTAATCTAACAATGCATCAGGAGTACCATGTGTCACAACCTCATGGAATTTATTCTATACATGCAAGGTTGGTTTGACATAAACAAGTCAATCTATGTACTACACATCAATCAAAGGAAAAGCAACAATGATCAATAAATACAGAGAAGATTTTAAAAAATATTTAGCACTTATTTTTTATCAAAACTCTGAATTCACTAGGGATGGAAGAAATTTATCAGCATAATTAGGGGCATTTACTATACACTCACAACTAATATCAAATTCAGAATTGAAAACTTCTTTAAAATCAGGGGCAAGATAAGGCTATTTACTGTCACCACTTTAATCAATTTTGTTTCAGAGGTCTTATCTAGAGCACTCAGACATCAGTAGGAAATAAAAGGAGAGCCCTAGGATATGACTCAGTGGCAGAATGTCTCCCTTGCTTACATGGTTGAGTGTTACATGGTTGTTACATGGTTGAGTGTTCAATCTCTGCACCTCTCCATACTATACGGTGATCACTGGCATTACTGTGGTAATCTCTGGCACCACACTGCTGTATACACTAGCACTGCAACCAAGTTTTCAATACCTGGGCATCACAGTAGCTACAACTACCAAAGGAAGAAAAGGGAGAAAAAAATGGGTTTAAAAAGAAGCAAACCGGGGCCAGAGTGATAGCACAGTGGGTAGGGCGTTTGCCTTGCATGCAGCCGACCCAGGTTTGATCCCCGGCATCCCATATGGTCCCCCAAGCACTGCCAGGAGTAATTCCTGATGCAAAGCCAGGAGTAACCCCTGAGCATTTCTGGGTGTGACCCAAAAAAAGGGAAATAAATAAATAAATTGGCTTCTTTTTATAAATAAATAAATAAAAAGAAGCAAACCTATCATTACTTGTAAACTCTGTGATAGTATATCTAGAAAACCCTAAAATCTATATTTATAAAACTATTAGAATCAATAAGCAAGTACAGAAAGTATCAGATTAGAAAGTCAATATACAAAAATATGTTGTCTTCCTATATGTAAATAAGTGAGGCAAAGAGGAAAGTAAGAAAGCTATTTCATTTACAATATGGGTACGTTCATTCCTTGTTACCCAAAGAATCAAATATTTAGGAATAAATTTAGCAAAGTAGATGAGAGACCTTTATAACTTCACTTAATCACTTAATCACTTAATCCCCGTTATTCATCGATTTATTCGAGCGGGTGCCAGTAACGTCTCCATTCATCCCGGTTGCGTGCTAGCGTAGCCCAATGGTATCTGTTCGTTTTAGGAACATGTAGAGCCTCAAACCGATCATTTAGGGTCTTGACGAAGAAGTCTGACCATCTTATAGGTGGCCGTCCACGTGATCTTTTGATGTCTCGTGGAATCCAATCAGTAATGGCTCTAGTCCAGCGGTTGTCTGTAAACCTCATTACGTGTCCAGCCCATCTGATTTTTGATGTCTTGGCAAATGACACAGCGTCCCTGATTCTTGAGCGTTGACGAAGATCAGAACTCCGGATTCTATCTCTCATTTGAGTGAATCGTGATATTCCAAGCATAGTTCTTTCGATTCCTCTTTGAGAGACCCGAATAGCGTTCTCATCCTGTTTTCGTAGGGTCCAGGTCTCTGAGGCATATGTTAATGCAGGAAGAATAGTGGAATCAAAGAGATGTGCTCGTCGCTGGAGGTTCTTTGTCCTTTTAGTTATTTCTTCAATGCTCTTGAAGGCATTCCAAGCCGCTCTCTTCCTCCTGCGCAACTCAGGTGCCAGGTCATTCATCATGTTGATTTCTCGACCTAGGTATATATAACTGTTGCATTCGGAGATGGTGGTTCCACTGAGAGCGAATGGAGCGTCAGGAACAAGGCTGTTTCTCATAAACATTGTCTTCGTAAGATTCAGCTGTAGTCCTACCTTTCCACACTCACGGTCAAAGTCCGCCAGCATTTGTGCCGCTTGGCTGATGTTTGGTGTTATTAGAACGATGTCATCAGCAAAGCGGAGGTGGTGTAGTTGCCAACCATCTATCTTCACTCCCATGTTTTCCCATTCTAGTCGTCGCATGATGTTCTCGAGGGTGGCACTGAAGAGTTTTGGTGAAATGGTATCACCCTGCCGAACCCCTCTCTTGATATGGATGATTACATCTTTGTAGAATGGTGAGATCTTGGTAGTGAATCCGCAATAGAGCTCACGAAGGATCCTGATGTATTGAGTTTGTACGCCCTGATTGGCTAGGGCTTCCATGACCGCTTCCATCTCAACAGAATCAAAGGCCTTCTTTAAATCAATGAACGTTAGACAGAGCGGCATCTTGAACTCCCGAGATACCTCAATGAGCTTGGTTATTGTGTGGATATGGTCAATGGTACTGAATCCTTTTCGGAATCCAGCTTGTTCACATGGTTGTCCTTCATCTAGTGTTCTGCTAATCCTATTCAGGATGACTCGAGTGAACAGTTTGTAGATGACAGACAATAGGCAGATTGGGCGATAGTTGCCAATGTCGTGGATGTCTCCTTTCTTGTATAGTAGTACAGTCTTGCTGGTTTTCCACTGGGATGGAACCTTGCATTCAGACAGGTAGCGTGTGAAGAGTCGAGCCAATGTATTGATGAGTACTGATGGTAAGTTCTTCAGGTGTTCAGGTCTGATCTTGTCTGGGCCAGGTGCTTTTTGTTTCTTTATCGACGAGATGGCATGTTGAATTTCGGAAGGGAGAACATTGGGAACGACATATCCATCATGTGGTATGTGGTATGTGGGCAAGTGGATGTGGCTATTAAAGAGATCTGAGTAGAAGTCATGAATAATCTTCTCCATTGCCCTTCTGGAAGCTGTGATAGATCCATCATGATGTCGGAGGGCAGTCATCTTGGTTTTGTAGTTGGTGAAGGACAGGCGGGCATTACGAATGTTTTTCCCAGCTTCTGCTGCATCTACCAGTACTGCTGCTCTCCTGTTTTTGAGGTCATCCTTGATGGCTTTTCTGCACTGTTTTGCCAGTTCGGACGTTTGCTTGTGGTTGCCTGAGGCACGTGCCAAGCCACGTTGGCGAATAAGTTCAAGAGTGTTCGAAGAAAGACGGTTTTTTGTGGTTATCTCTCTCTTGGCATTCCTTGCACAATCATGGAGGTGCTGAATCATTCGATCGTATTCCTCATCAATGTTGTCAATGACGGCATCTTCCCATGTTGCCGCAACAGAGCCAAAGAGTTCCCAGTTGGTGGTTGTTCTGGGAGTCCTCTTCTTAAACCTTGCATTCTTTTCTCCTCGTTCTGTGAGGTAGAATTTT